GGCCGTACGCACGCGAGGTTGGGCCGTGGCCGGGGCAAACTCCGTGGGCTTTGCAGCCCGAACAGGCCGAGGAGGAGCGGCGTCGCTCTGAGTGAGGGTTGGCGTTGCCTGTGCCTGTTCTGGCTCCTTCCAGAGCCCGCTCGGCCCAACGCCATCGTCTGCCCCGGTGAAGCCGGTTGTGCGTTTCCAGGCCCGGTGGCGTGGTCCTGCCCTCCGCGCATTTGAGAGCAGAATTTCTTCCAGGCCTCAAAGCCGAAGAGTTACCGAGGCTGACTCGAGTCCTTTACATTAAATTTTTTATCAAAGTGTACTTAAAAAAAAGGCACAATCTACTTTTTTTTTTTTTTCTGAACGTTGTGTTCTTTGCAGAAAACATAACCCAAATGCAGCTGGAAGTTCATTTTTCTTCAGTGTTGCCTGATAGATGTACGCGCATTGGCAGCTGCAGGTGATTTCTAAAAGCTGCTCCGAAAGCGCTTGTCGTCCCTGTTCTCTTTGTAAGCGTCCTCTGATCCTAGTGTCTTCAGGCACCTCATCACGAGCCTTTCTTACTGCTCATCAGAAGTTCTTTCCTGTGATTCTTCAGCTTTTCCATTTTCTCCATTCTCTGATCTTGTATTTCTGCAACAAACTCGCATTAATTCACTTTATGACATTAAGTAGAAACTCTTTAATGTACTTGTCAACTTACCCCTGCTTATTGCAGCAGTCAGGATAAATAGTACTTAATTTTTTTTTTTTTTTTACTGTTGTGATTTAAAGACAAGCCTTTCCCATAAATGATATGGAGAAATAGGAGCTTGTCCTCATTTCTAATGGTGTGAAAAGCTAATGGTTACGGTCTCACTAAATTTAACAGAAAGCCTAAGTGTTTTGCATATTCTACTTTGAGCTACACCAGTTCTCTGTAATGGCAGTGATCTTTCTTTCTTGTAGCATTTAATGAATTTCAGAAAGAATAGAGACAAATTGAAGTTTGGTTTACATAAACCATTATATATGCCATTTGTGGAGAGAATGCAAAGAGCGTTTTAGTTAAGCTACAGATACTATCAATTGTTCAGTGTTGCGGAAACAAGAGACAGGATGGAAACCATAATTTCTTAATGACTGCTTTATGTGACAGTGGATGAAACACTCCGTAAGTTCACAGCTAATGAGCTATAAACTCTGCGTTTAGTTTTTCAGTATTAATGCTCTTTTTTTTTTTTCATGAGAAGAGCAACCTAACCTAGATCAGTTCCCAACTTGACAAGAATATAAGCTTTAAACTTTTTTTTTTCTAAAAAAAAAAAGGATGCTGCGAATAACAGCCAGACATCCCCCACAGCTGTTTTGAATAGGTCGTTCCTTGTAGCTGCGAAGGGCCCACAGTGAAGTCAGTGAGGGTCACGGCAGAAACAGGACTTTATAGATGGGAGCCACTTACATGGGGAGAGGCAAATCTGTTATACTGTGCATACATATATGCTTATATACTGTGCATATAGACAAAGTTATACTGTGCATCTTACAGAAAAAAAAATATATATGTGTGTCTCCATTAAATACTTCTATCTTTGTGTGAATTTGCTGTTGGATCAGTGGTATAGCAATTTGAAAACCTGTATTTACTGTCCAGTTGTGCTAATATGACCCAGCGTACGCTTTAACACCAGACTGGTCTCTGCGTTGCTTGGTCGCAGGAGAGGTGTTACACGGAGACCATGTACTCTGCGAGTGCCTTACATACGGATTAAGGACTTACTCTTAGCACTCAAACGTGGGCATCGTGACCCTAGGTTTTTCTTAACCCCACAATTTGGTTTCAGTCTGAACATTTAGGAGAAAAGGGTTTTCTGAGCGAAACTGGTGAATTGTAACACTAGGTGGCACTTAAACACAGCTAACAAAGGCTTTTAAGTCTTGCAACACACAAAACCAGTCAAACACATTCTGTTCTAACATGCAGTTAATTATATCCTCAAAATGATGTCTTGGATTGATATTACTAAACAAACATGTATAAAATGTAATTACAGGCAAGTGAAATAAATACTGTAGGCTTGTAATTGCAAGATACTTTTTTTTTTTTTCCTTGTAATATGCTACACACCTGTGCGTAGTTTATATAGCTAGTATTTTATTTTGTCATTTTTACTAACATTTAGAATGGCGCGATTTAGCTTTATGTGCTTTTATTTACTGGTACCAATTTTTTCCATATGTCAGTTTTTAAAAAATGGAATGTTTTTATCTATTGGGATTTTAAACCAGGAGTATTTCAAAGGGAAAACAATAATAAAGGAGGTTGTTTTAATATAAAATCACTTCAAAACTTTTTTTAAGAAAGCGTATATTTTAGATTTTTTTTTCTAAGTGTTTTGCTTTCCTCTTTCTTTACTTGCCTTTTGGAGTTACACCTCTATCACTGTAGTAGCTTAATATCCACTTGGAGGTCCAAAGTCTATCTGTTCATAACCATTTCTTAAGTGATACCATTGGTAAAATATACCAGGCCTGTAGGAGACAGTCTAAGAGCCGTGAAAACCCATCAGAGCAGTTCGTGGCCATCACCTTGGCTTCTGGCAGTTTTTCCTATCAGCTGCAGAAGTTGTCAGCAGCATTTCAATTGATCGCACAAGCCCTGTGCGAAGCTGCTTTAAGTTACAACAAGCTGAAAAGGCAAAGGCATGCAAGGAAACGTCCTCCCAGCACAAGAGCAAGCTAATAAGCGTCAAACCGAGAAAGTGCAAGAACAGCCTTCTAGGTCCTCTTCCCCCTCGCTTTCCAGTAATCAGGGAGCTGCTCTCAACCGTGCTGTTGGCCAGTCCCACAGCATTCACTGCTCAGGGTTACAAATGGTTGTCTTCTCTGTGGTAGTAAGATTAGAGCTGAGATGAAGCTCATAAATGGTAGGACAACCCAACAACACATTCATGTGTTTGCGTTTTGTTATTTGGCAGCCACGGCTGTGTATGTGGTGTGGGGAAGACTGGTATGTGTGTGGAAGTCACACTTTGTTGAAAGAGAATTGCCCGTGCACAACTGTATGCTTAGACAAACCGATGTGAACAACCTGCGCGTGCTTGTTGGAATTGCCCCCGGAGATCAGGAGACCTGTTTCAGGTCAGTTGGAACCCAAACACGAGACCAGGATGCGCTGAGTCCCCATCAGCCGGTGCAAAAAGTTCAGAACAAGGAGTTGGAA